AATCTATACAAAGTGGTGTTATCGGATCCGCTAATTTCACGGCGAATTCGTACCTTTTGTCAAAATGAGGTGTTTGTTGTAATTTTGTTTTGTACTGATTGTCAATGTGCGTGTAATTTTTTATTGTAATTTTTGTTTTTGTTCTGTTAACGCCACCTTGTATAAATTCGCCTTGTCTCAATCGAATGAACTTGCTAAAATAAGAAGAACTCTTATAGAGTGTTCAAAATTGCTTGGAACAAAGTCAACTTTTTTTGTGATACGTATGCAGGTACCATGCATCACCAAAGCACTTTGCTGGTAGTAGAGCAATTTAAAATATTTGTAAAGGAAACACCTAATAGATGACATTGATAGATAAAAGTAAATAAGTTCTATCTAGTAACTGGTGCCTTCTCACCATTGGCTCGCTCGTTGTTAAATGAATAAAGCCACAACTGTAAACTTATAAAAAATTGTTATGAAAGATAAATGTTGCTGATAAATGGATTTAAATTTGCGATAAACATTTTGCTCGTGCTAATGGCGTGTATATTCAGCAAATACCAGTTCATTTGTTTATTAAAATTGTTTGTTATTACTGGAAATTTTAACTGACTGGCTGATAAGATGGGAATAATGTACATACATGCGGCCATACATACATATATGACAATTACCAGTATTAAAGGCAACACGTCATTGAATTTGCATTGCGGTGAAGTTCAAGAGAATTGCGAAATTCGTATGATGTTGGAATTTTTTATTTTATTTTGATACGGGAGGCTAGAGAAATTAAATATGCCTCGTTTCGAAAAGGGTTAACGTGTACCTACTTACTATAGTATATATATATGTACTTTTATTTAGCACTTATTGAAAGGTGGTGGCGCAAAGTTTGAAATAATTTTTAATGGAACGCGAGTTTGTTGAGCGTTTTTGCAACAACGCAGAGAAGCTGATGTTTAACAAAATATTGTTATAAGATTAATATCTTCATTTTAATAGCAGCAAGAATAACGATGTGGTCATGATAAAAATCTGATTCGATTTATGATGTTTTGTATGTTTAGCTTCAGCGTTAATTTTGCATCACAACCTCTTTTGGTAGCACTTGCATATGAACGGATACAAAACCAATTACATATATCCAATTCAAGTTTCCTCTGGACTAAGTTTGCCCTAAAAGTACTTCAGCAGGAGAAACTGGGGCCTTTGCAGCTGGAAACTGCTGAAAATTCTGTAGAAAAGCGGAAGCCTGCCATGAATTGTAGGGACTCAGGTGCATATTTGCGTGGAATCTTGTAGCCTTGGCATTAATGAGCGATGTGCTGGGCAACTGAATCGAAGTTGCACTGTTAAATTGGTGTGTACAGCCCGGAATTCTCCATGAATCTTAAATTTACGCTGCCAGATGTTAGCACAGGTAGGTTAGGTCTTGGAAGGGATTAAAATTGGCTGTTGTGGTGGTGCTCTAGCGTAAAAATTCTCTAAACAAATTTGGGGAATAATTGGTGACATATATGTATGTACGTAAAGATCTAGGTTGTTCCGGTTACGTAGTCCCGTCTTTAGGGGAAACTAAACTGGTCGATCGGCTTGAATGCCGACGGGTTCTGACCGGATATTCCGGTAAAACTTAAAAATGTATTCGATCCTCACTGCTGCAGGAAAATGACCTTATGCCAACTTATGTCTAATAATTTCGCTTTCATGCTCAATATTTGCAGTTATTGTGGCTCAAATTCTGTATTTGCTTTTCAATCGTCTAAATTAAAAATAAATATTTTTATCATACCAAATCATATGCAAATATGTATTTATTTCCCAAAATTGCATAAATATAAACATACACGAATTCCTACAACTTGGAATTATTTCAAGTGAGTGCGCGTAAAATGCCGCCGCATTCATTAATAACAACAAATGATACAGAAAAAGCAATATTAAAAAAAAAAAAATTGCATTAACAACCAACAAATTGTGACAACCTATAAATATTGAGAATTTCTGCCAAATTATAACTGCACAAATGCAATGCACGTATTAAAGAGGCTTCCTTATTGCATGTCTGCGTTTTGTTTTTGTAAATGGTCATATTTCGCATTTCCACATTTTTTTTTTGCGATTTGTATATTTTTCACAAATCTACATGCTTACATGCATATGCACATACATATGTATGTACGAGAGTCTGAAAAAAATTCCGCATCAAGAAAATGTCGATAATTGCAAGACGTGAAAAATGCACGGATATGCATACAAGTGTACATATGTACTTATAAGTACTACATGTTTACAAGAAAGAAGCCGCCTGCCAGCCAAATAGCTTGCGTATTTCAAAAATAAAAAGGGAACAAAACAAAAACAGAAACCCCAAAAACTAAATGCGCTTTTAAAGTGCGACTGTAAATATTTCAATACGTCTGGGTTGTTTTTCACTTTGGTGTCACCAGGCCCTTATTAAGTTGAGTGCTATCTACTAATTAATGCTGCGGAGAGTACAAAGTGTAAAAAAGTAGAGGTATGTGAACAGACGGCATACAAATTCACAAAAAAATACACTCCAATTAGCGCTTTGAGTTTTATCAGCTGGAATTTAACAATACGCGCGCTGAACTTTGCATTTTGCAATCGTTTTTCATTTTGCATTTAAATATGCATTCACAATGCGATAAATGAATGAGCAAGCAAGTAGATCTTACAATTAAATACATACATATGTACTTGTACAAACATATGTACGTATGAACTAGGCTTGATTCGCGTAATAAAACGCAACGCTGCAGCTACTTTAAATGAGCCATTCGTATCAGTGAATTGATGAATGAAGCGTATGTTCTAATTATAAACTGCAAATGAACGAGAGATTATTGAATTAGTATTTATGAGCAGAATGAGGAAGTGATGTGTGGAATATCTGTGCGAAAGCGTATGCAAGTTATATTTTTGTAACATTTGTAGAATTAAATTTAATCTAGCATGGTATGCTGGTTGGACGGTAGCAACGGGGTATATGTGGCAGTATATTTTTCCGTATGTATAGTGAGGCGTCGATAAGGCAAAGATGTCGCAACCACAGCAAAGTTTTTACAAAAATGTAAACAAGTTGTAGTGTCGATTACTTGTCTTAACCTCAATTTAACTTTAATCAGTTAGAATTAATGTGCCAAACCGCACATAATTTAATACAATGCGTATTATGACATTTATATCATATTTGTGTAATAGCTGTGTCAGTACGAATCCGACAACGAAAATTGATTAGTAAAGCACTAAGGTGGTTGGTTACTACTTTGCGTGCGCCTCCATTTCAAACAAATGTCACTTAAGTTACTAACATCTTTTCCAAAAATGTTTTGAAAACTAGAAGCTTTTCAGGTAGACTTGAGAATGGAAAATAATTTTTTTTTATTCTCTGAACACTTCCAAAGAACTGAAAGAATATGTATGTATGTATAACAATTTGTTTTTCATAAGAACAGCCAATTACTTCAACGCACAATAAATTTGCCATATCGCTAGCTTAGAGTGAAAAGTTTAAACTTTTAACTTTAAATTTTTACAGAAAGAAATAAAAAGCTTTCAAAGTCAACATTTTGAAGCACTGGTTTTGCTAAAAATTCTATACAAGTTTTAGCGTATCCCAAGCTATAAAAACTCGAAGCGAATAACCATATTTTCTGTGATTTCGGACTTAGCAAATTTACCTATCACCGAATAGAAACGGTTAGAATAAAATAGCAAACGATGCATTTTTAATTCTTTAATTCTTTAATTTCCTGATTCCTGAATCAAAATATATATATATATATATATATATATATATATATGTATATAATAATAATAATAGATTGGCGCTTACACATATGTTAGTGTTTGGCCGAGCTTCTCCTCCGATTTGTGGCGTGCGCCTTGATGTTGTCACACAAAGCGGAGGGACCTACAGTTTTACGCCGACTCCGAACGGCGATTGTATTTTTATGAGAAGCTGTTTTTCATGGCAGAAATACACTCGGAGGTTTGCCATTGCCTGCCGAGGGACGACCGCTGTTAAGAAAAAACCTTTTTTCTATATTTTTGCGATGTTGCTTTGACCAGGGTTTGAACCCAGGCATTGTGGAGTGGAAGCGCGCACTGCTTACCACTACACCACCGCGGCCGACATGTATATATATGTATATATTGTTTTCAAAAAGTGGATTTAGCAACATTTCAGTCTAAGCTAGCGATATATTTCATTGTATTCATATGTACTTATGTCTGTACATAAGATCTCATTCTCTGATAAGTTTCAGTTCAAAGTTACATAAATACTTAGCGGGAAATCGTCAGCTATGAACTGTGAATTCAGTGTAGCTTAAAAATATTGTTTGTGCATACTTTGGTCATTTAGAGTTCAGCTCGGATTATTAGAAACAAAAAAGATTTTTGAGAATATTAGGTCACAAGGATTTGTCTCATTCTTTCAGAAGAGTCAAAGGCCTAATTGAGGCTTAGAATGAAAAGTTGCTAAGTCCACTTTTTAGAAAACTCATATTTTGATACAGGAGCCTAGGGAAATTTATAATGCATTATTTCGAGAAAGATACAGGTAGGTTCTCGTTTTATTTATTCTCGTTTATATTCAAAGAAAGGAAAATTTGCTTAGTCCAAAAGAAGCACCGAAAAGCCGATACTTCAGGCCAAATCTTTCAATAAAAATCGAATCCCTCTGATTCGTGTAAAGTTGTGTTTTGCTTTAAACAGACAAAATGTATTCAAAGTTTTGCGAAATACTTAAAGAAAATGGCTATAAGAAGTTTTTTTCCTCGGCCGTAAAATTCTTAAAATTGGATTTGGCAACTTTTCACTCTAAGCTAGCGATATGTGTAGATGACTAGAAAGTGGAAGAAATATTTAAGATTTTTTATAATCTAGAATTTCGTAGGTATACGTCTTCCCCTGTTTCTGGAACCAAAGGATTTAATACTTCCATTTCCTACAAACGCACATAAAATTAATACCATAACAAAACTCACCTTTCTTGCCCATCGGCTTCTGCTTGCTTATTTTTTTGCAAGTCATCTTCATGCGACGACGGCGGCAAATCATCTGCTGTTGCCAACTCTTCTTTAACATTTTGCTGCTCGTGGTCGTTCACTTCACTCTTAACTGCATCATTAATTTCCGCATTTACGAACTCATTTGCATCAACATCACTTGCACTATCAACAACACTAGGCAACAGCCAACCGTCAGCTGACTGCGGTGCTGCTTCTGCCGCTGCCGGTGCTGGCGCGGTTAATGCTGCGCTATCATCGTCAACAACGCTTTCCAGCATGTTAACAACGTCTGGCAAAGCTGCATGCGGCGGCGTCACTGCGTCACCAACATTGTTTAATAACTTTTCCACTTTTTTATAATTCAGTAAAACTTCATCATGAGCCACTGTTGCCGTTGCAGCAGCTGCAGCTGGTTTTTGCGGCACATCTGCTCGGTTATCGGCAGCTGCATCGGCTGCAGTGGGCAATGCAGCAGCCGCCGCTGCCACTGCTTCGTCACTACTTGCCGCTACATATTTGGCGTTCTCTGTGAGAAGCACAAAGAAAAGGAAACAACTGCAATGGAAAATTATGAAAATATATGAATTATTGGGCACGGAAAATTATACATGCAGTTAAAAATGTGTAAATGCACACAATGTATGCATAGTTTTATGCACTAGCGCTTACCTCGAAATACACGTCACCGATAGCAGGCTCAAATAAGCCAATTGCAAATTGAACCGCATAATTTATGCACATACATACACGCACGATTCAGCACTTTTGCTATATTTTATTCAAATATTTGCAAGTTTTTTATTTAATTTTTGAAAAACATTTCTTTTGTTTTATTGCAATCGCGGCGGGGTTTTTATTTGCTACTTTTCTTGTATGCTTGGCGCTATCGCCCTGCGCTTTCACTGCACTTTTGCAACCGCTGGCTGCGGCAATTGCAAGCATGGCATCATATGACTTTTTGGCAAATTTAAAACGTTCGCAAGCAATTTTCACAAAATCACTTACTTTTCACTACATAAAATTAACTAAATATCGGTGTAAACGCTGTTTTTCTCGTGTGAAATATGAGCTGCGAGAACAAGAATCTGTAAAAGAATCAACTGCTCCGTCGTTCGGCAAGAAAGCGGAACTGCTAAACAAATTGAAAAAAGCGAGAACATGAGAAACTGTCAAATAGTGCAATAAATGTCAAAACGCAGCAAACCGTTTGGAAATCAGCGAATGCGCGGTGAAGCAACGTCGGGAAACAGTGCTGCTTCTTAACAGGGTAATTTACCTTGCGAAAAGCGTTGGTATAGTCTGGGAAATTTTGAAAGCACAAACAAATTCACACACGTTGAAGAATTTATAAATGTTTTAAAGAATAAAAAGTTTGAAAATTCAAAATGTTTACACCAATTGTGGTTACTTTTATTTCCACAGGTATTTTTTACGTTCATTGGTGTTTACGTTGATCCCCAAAAAGTGCCGCCGAAAATCTTAATTCCGCCTAATTATCCTTCATCTGGCAGCTCCTAAACAGCTGTTTCTTTTTTCCGCTGCAATTTTGCAGCAAGTGCATTTTTGCTCGTTCATATTTTGAAATTCGAATTTTCCACTTAATTGTTTAATCATGGAGGCAAAAAACACACTTGTGCATTGGTTTCGTAAAGGATTACGTGTACATGATAATCCAGCGTTAACGCTTGTGTTTAACAAAGCACTTAGTTCGCCTACACAATTCTGTGTACGTCCAATTTTTGTGCTCGACTCGGCGCTGTTGGAATGGTTGCGTGTTGGCGCAAATCGTTGGCGCTTCTTGCAACAAACTTTAGCTGATTTGGATGCACAATTGCGCGAACTAAATTCCCAACTGTATGTAGTGCGCGGCACGCCGACGACAGTATTTCCGCGCATTTTCAAGGACTGGCGCGTCAGCTTGCTTACATACGAGACAGATATTGAGCCATATGCACTGAATCGTGACGCAGAAGTGCAACGTTTAGCAAAGGAAGCCGGTGTTAAGGTAGATGCGTGTTGTTCGCATACCATTTATAATCCAGAGCTGGTGATACAACGTAATGGCGGCAGTGCGCCATTGACATATCAGAAATTTCTTAGTGTTGTGGAAAAACTGAAAGTGGCGTTGCCCGTGGCGACGCCGACAAGGTTGAGTGTGGAACATAAACCACCAAAAGATGATATGGAACAGAAGGATCCAAATTGTTATCTATTTCCAACATTGGAGGAACTCGTTAAGCGGCCTGAGGAACTAGGCGAGAATAAGTTTCCAGGCGGTTAGTATGTATTTTGTAATTACAGCAATTTGTTTATACATACTTAGTTTTATTTAATTCACAATCGCAGGTGAAACTGAAGGTCTGCGCCGCTTGGAGGCTTCGCTGAGCGATGAGTCATGGGTAGCCGCCTTTGAGAAACCAAACACATCACCGAACTCACTTGAACCCAGCACTACTGTGCTCAGTCCGTATCTTAAATTTGGTTGCCTTAGCGCACGCTTATTTCATCAACGTTTAATGACTGTTTTAAAGCGGCATCCAAAACATTCCAAGCCGCCTGTATCGCTCCTGGGACAATTGCTTTGGCGTGAATTTTATTACACTGCCGCTGCTTCTGAGCCGAACTTCGATCGCATGATAGGCAATAAATTCTGTATGCAAATACCGTGGGAAAGTAATGAAGCGCATTTGGCAGCGTGGACGCATGGGCGTACTGGTTATCCATTTATCGACGCTATAATGCGTCAGTTGCGCCAGGAAGGTTGGATACATCATTTGGCACGTCATGCAGTGGCATGTTTCTTGACACGCGGAGATTTATGGATTTCCTGGGAAGAGGGACAAAAAGTATTTGAAGAGCTGTTGCTCGATCAGGATTGGGCATTGAATGCCGGCAATTGGATGTGGCTTTCCGCATCTGCCTTCTTTTATCAATACTTTCGTGTATACAGCCCCGTTGCCTTCGGTAAGAAAACCGATGCTACAGGCGCTTATATAAGAAAATATGTACCTGAACTCGCCAAGTATCCAGCAGGTTGCATCTATGAGCCTTGGAAATCGTCACTGAGCGCACAGCGTGAATATGGTTGTGTGCTTGGTGAAGATTACCCACATCGCATAGTCAATCACGAGATAGTGCATAAGGAGAATATCAAACGCATGACAGCGGCATATAAGGTGAACCGCGAGGTAAAGCAAGGCAAAAATTCCGATAACGATGGCGGCAAAGGCAAGCGTAAAAAGGTAGGAAGTAGCGCTCAGTTGACAAAAAAACCACGTACATAATACGAAAGGTTTCGTAGTATTAACAATTAGCGTAAAAAGTAGCTTAAAGCTGTTATACATATACTCTGTGGTATATTTGTTAAGTTTATTAAATAATGTATATTAAATTAAGAAGTGATTAATCTCATGACATTTACAATGTAACCAAGGCATATTAATGTGCCTTGAACGTAACATACAAATTTGAAAAATCTACAGCTCAACACGAGTGCATTGCCTTATTTATTTCTCAAACGTGCAGATCTGCATGTCATCCGGTTTGTCCATGTCTTGCGGGTCCAAGCGATACCGATAAGTTGAATCGCGCAGCATACGCTTTGGCATTATGATCGTAATGCCTTTGAATTTGAAAACATTATTGCGTACTTTTGGTATGGGTGGCAGTTGCCTGCGTTCATTATCCCCGAAGGTATCAATATCCACGGTGCCGTGCTTCTTTTCTACTTCCTCTTCCATAGGAAAGGCATCAATGTCGACGGGCGCCACGCAAATTCTCTCTTTGACTGCAGTTTCGTTTCCGGCGCTAATAGATTTTTCCGGCACTACAAGCTCTAAATTCTCACCACTGATTGCGTTTGTGGGCAATGCAATAGCTTTTACCATAAATTCCTTTGCTTCCTCCCGCTCTCTTGTTGGCGTATGCGGCTTATCATTCGCAATCGGCATCAAACTCCGGCCGACATCGTCATTGCCTGCCGCTGCTAGTTCTGACTGCGTTTGCTTTTCCGGCTTATCTTCGTACATCATATCATCGCCATAGGCATCTATATCTACAACTGTGGGAATCTCTTTTATCAGCGGCAAAACCAGCTTGGTGGCTATATTGCTTGGCAATTTTTCATTATTGATGCGATCCACACGATCCATATGCTCCATGCGCTCCTCGAAATCCATTCGTCCATAGCCTCCGTTTACATCAACAATGGTTACAGCTGGCAACGTATCTTCTTTGATTGTCGGCTGTGACCTATTGGCGGTAGCATCACCGGACTTTTCCTGCTTGTTGCTATTCTCTACCACTTCTGGTTCGCTAAGAAATTGTGTCGCTGCGACGTGTACTGGCTCGCCGGAAAGCGGCATTTCTCTATTTCCGAAGTTCGGTTTTGATGCCGATGTAGAAATTGCGCGTGTCAGCGTAGTTGGCACTGCTGGCAATTTATGCCTTTGGATCAGCATTTGGGCAGCAAAGCGTAGCCTGGACATACTCCTTCAAAAATGAGTGGATTATCCAACCGGAAACAGTTTTTATTTCTCCTTTTCTCCCGCGTTTTTTAGTAGCGTGGTAATTTTTTTGTTTTCTTTTCAATGATTTTCACTAGGGACGTACTGTTATACAACAACTACAAATTTTTAAAATAAATCTTATTGAAAGCTGCTGTAATTTTGTTTAAACTTCTTTACAAAATGCTAGCATTTGTCTATTTTTTCAACATAAAAAGCAATAAAAAGAAAAATAATCCATTGAAGTAGATTGTGAGGGAAAAATCTTAATGCAGGTACTCTTGTGCACCGGCAGGACTTTATGATAAAAGAAATAAAGAGAAAAAATTTCCATTGGAAGTACATATGTAGATTGTGAGGGAAAAATCCTCTAAATAGGACTAATGATAAAAAGAAATAAAATGAAAATAACTTTATTGCAAGTAGTTCGTAAAGGAAAATTCCCTTAGTGACATCGATCAAAGGGGAACGAGGACCTAATTTAATTCTAAAAGAGCCGATCCTGGGCGACAGTTGTGTTCGCGATTTAGCTCTGCCTTCGTCGATGCACCCCAAATGTGGACAGGTTTCGAGCAAAATTTCGGAACAGCAGACTATTTCTGCGTTGTAGTAAGTCTAGCTTGTTCTCGCACTCGACTTCGGTTAGGAGCAGCTCCCGGAGCGGACTCATCTCAAAATGTGCTCTGGCCTTAAGACCAAAAGTGAATGGTCCAAGCGTTTTGTGGCGTAATGCTGCCGAAAGGATCTCCAAGGTCCATAGGAGCTCCTCTAAGCAACAGGGAAGTAATGATTTATAAACCATCCGTGTGATGTGATCCAGATCTACATCACAAAATCACTGACCCAGACATTGCACCGACAAGACATCAACTGGAGTTCAATCCCCACCTAATTCAGAGGAAAAGCCTCAACCGCCTCAAGAGACTAGCCGTGCTTTTGCACAATATCAGTGTGTTTATTGTAGCAGGTTATCCAGACTCGACTCGAATGTATGAATGGGGCGTGGACCTAGTAGATAAGGTCAGCTAGGCAAGAAGATTTATGTGAAGAGCAAGTCAACTCCAAAGCTATATCTTTCGTAGAGAACACCAAAAAAGAATAATAGCCCATCTCTAAAAAAAGAGGAAACGCTCATAAATTCAGGAAACTGCGTTATGGCTAAGGAGATGTCTTTCGAATTCCCTAACGGCTTAGTCTCTTTGGTCTACGCAGTTGAAAATGTGGATATTGCTACAGAAATGTTTAGGTCCCTGGCAGTGAAAAAATTAAAAAAAGGCTGAGAAATTGTAATTTTTCTTTGAAGGCTGGCGATGAAGCTCACTAAGTTGACTCAAGCTGGCGGGAGAGAGCTTGATGCCAACCGCAATTAGAACTCCAATTTGACTTGGTAGGCGATGGTTCACACTGTTTCGTTCTCTGTCAGAAAGTTCCTGAGACTTTAGTTCCCAAATTGTTATTCGAGAGAAAGTTCCATAGACTATTGCCCCCGTTCAGATGTTTCCCAAAACGTTCCGCAAACTTTTGTTCCCATCTCGTACTCTTAGAAATGTTCCCGAAAGTATTGTTCGTAATTTGTTCTCTTTGGGAACGTTCCGCGGAGTTTGAAGAGAGAGATAATGGGCCTCATGCATAAAAAGTGAGTTACGCTCCGACTCGATTTTCAGCACAAATTCTTGAGTTTGAACTTACTTTTTATGCATAAGCCCCAATGTTCCTGACAGTTTTGTTCTCATTTTGGTTTTGGTTTTAAAGCGTTCTTGGGGACAAAACTACGAGAACAACATTTAGTTTCGATCATAACTTTTGTTCTCGGTACCTGATTTAATTTAATATTTTTTTAATATATTAATAATTAATAAAAAAAAAAAATATATATTGCTAAAAGGCTAACACCATAACGCTAAGACCTTCTCGTTAGCAGATCTTTCGGAAGACAACAAAGAGCTTTCAAGATAATTACTAGTATTGACAATTGTGTTGCGAAATCCTTTGGTCCTTCGAAAGACTGTGGTGAGTTGAAACACAGTTGCCAGTATTCACGTTCTATAGTTTCTAGCCAAGTGAGCGAACTTAAAGTAAATATGTATATGTATATATGTATGTATATATGTACATGTGCTTGGACATAAATATACATAAATACATATGTATATGTTTGCATGTAAAGCATGACTTGTAAATTTGTTTATTTGTGTGAATGCACCTGGTGTGCAAATCTGTTGTCACGTTCCACCACTCAAATCGGTTTAATTTAATCCCCAAGAATAATAATATTCTGCATTGCAGCAACAAAAGCCTTTTCAGGAAGTAAATTTACACACATTTATTCATAAATGCATTTGCATATTCAGAGCAAACAACTACATACATACATACATACATACATAATTCCTAACGATAACTTACCAATTTCATTGACCATACTGGTGGCAGAATGAAAATCAAAGCTAACAAGCAGGAATATCCTTATGGACATATATATGTACGAGTATCCAATTCCAAACGCTGGCAACACTGCAACACGGACTTTCAACTAGAAAATCAATTATTATGTGCAAAAATATACATACATACATATGTGCATTTGTAGTCACCGTCGCACAACTTAAGGCGACATAATACGAGTACCCGTAAGCATTTGCGAGTGCAGAGCTGATACCTGTAGAAATATTCAGTAAGAGGATAGCAAGCAGCAAGTGCGATACAAATAAACAAGTAGCTGTTGCATAAACTTAGGCGTTCACACCTGCTCTGCGCTACCAAGCGGGCCAAGTGGTGGAAGTGGTGGTAGAAGAAAAGGACACGCTTCCTAGTAGTTCAGTCATCCTCGTAATTATCAATTTTTAGCGTGAATGCCACAAAACATCCATATGATGGCCGGCAGTGGTGTTGTGAACAAAGTTTGCTTGCAGATGCTGCATATTTTCAGGAGCATGCAAAATTTGTGTGTGAGAATATTTTTGCAGGCACTACACTTTCGGGTACATGATTAGAACTGTTCCGTTTTAGAATAGTATTGATTTGGTGCCTCTCGTGATTATCGATGTCTTATTAACCAGGCCCCAGATAGACCGCATGACTTGGGACAAATAAAAGGAAACATCATTGACCATGAGACGATTGGCCGGTCGGTTCTGAATTATGCTGCGCCTATGTGGTCGCCGGCAGGTTCGAGCATACAATTTTCGGAGCCTTGGTTCAAAGAGAGCGGCGCTCTTAGGACTTTCGAGAGCAGTCGCCAGAGCAATATTCTCATAGTGACTCTCTTGTGATCCCAGTTGAGGAGAATAATATCATAATTATCAAGTCACCTGAACAGACAACACTTGCTTGAAGCCAGTCGCCGCCCAGTGGCGCGACCCATACAAGTTAGCCGCACAAAATTATTTGATTGATTTAAACTATAGAAGTCTTTAAAATGAGTAAATAATGGTTCGGCGAGGGGGGTCTATTGCGCGCCGCATGTGCGGTAGAGGGTTAAAAGTGGTATTTTTGAGGTTTCTTCACTTAATCCAGTGTATCTTCCGAACTACTAATTGCATATAATGTTTAGAAAGCTCAGTATGTAGGCTTTCACAACATGCACATACATTTGCAATTTCTTTTACAGAAAGACCTTCAATCAGCTCTGTTGAATACTAGACAAAATTAAACTGGATACTCTTTTTTCTAAAAACAGATAGGAAATTAAATTCAAATATTAATTAGTGTCTAGTACTTTTCTGCGTACTTTATATGAAGTTGGCGTACGGCATGACGCAAAAAGAAAAAAAAAAGCTGTTCTGACTAGCGTTTTCATCGCTCTAGAGTTCTTGAAAAGAAAAAAATAGATCTGGATATTTTGACAAAAAATTGCTTTAAAAATTGTGTATGCCAGATTCACGCAGCATGTGGCAAAAAGGCAAATAAAAAATTGTTCTGAGCAGCTTTTCAATAGTTCTAGAGTTCCTGAAAAGGAAAAAAAAGTGTTGCAAAACTACGCCGATTTTTTTTTTTAAAAAGTCGAAAAAGTTTCATATTTGAAAATAATAAAAATTAAAAGTGTTCTGAGTAGCTTTTCAGTAGTTTTAGAGTTCCTGAGAAGGAAGAAGGAAGCTCTGCAAAATTACGGCGAAAAAGCAATTTTCTTCGAAAAAGTTAAATTTTTGACAAAAATAAATATTATAACTGTCCTGAGTAGATTTTCAAAAGTTCTACAGTTCCTGAGAAGGAAACAGAAATTTCTACAAAATTACGGCGAAAAAAACTTAAAACTGTTCTGAGTAACTTTCCAATAGTTCTAAAACCCCTGAGAAGCCTGAGAAGGACAAAGAAAGCTCTTCAAAATTACGCCGAAAAACAGTTTTTTTAAAAAAAGTCGAAAAAGTTAAATATTTGAAAAAAAAAATAGAAATTAAAACTGTTCCGAGAAGCTTTTCAAAAGTTCTAGGGTTCCTGAGAAGGAAAAAAATCTGCAAAATTACACCGAAAAAAAATGTTTTTTTTCGAAAATGAACAAATGTAAATTTTTGAAAAACATAAAAATTAAAACTGTTCTGAGTAGCTTCTCAAAAGTTCTACAGTTCCTGAGAAGGAAAAAAAGAGTTCTTCAAAAATAAAAACACAAAAAAAATCGAAAAAGGAAAGTTTTCAGGTATGGAGTTTTGTAGCCCATTAAATTTTAGTCTAATAAGATGCAAGCTTCAAATAGCCAAAAATTACCGTCAATTTTTGATTTTTTTGTCTTCCTTACAACGCATTAACAAAGTCTACGGCGATTTCAAGCTATTTTAAACTTGCACCTTATTAGATTAAATTAAATGGGCTTCAAAACTGCGTTCCCAAAAATTTTCTAAAAATTCTGATTAAAAAGTTTGATATTTCGATGAAAATTTTTTGAAGTTTGATTAAATTTTTGTGAAATTTGGGCAAGCTTTGAAACTTTTGTTTATGTGGTTTCTGTTATAGTAGCTAAACCGCACTAGAAGACAAAGTCTAACTTGGGCTACCTAGTTGAAAACTAGCATCTAACCGTGGCTACGCATATTTGGCATTGTGGCTTAAAAATAAAACTGAGACTGATGCTTTGTATTTTGACGATTTGGAATGAAACCATAAATATAAGGTGCAATCCCGTATTCCTCGGACTCGGACCAGTAAAAATGTCAAAGAATAAAAATTTGCTCAGA